ACCTTTTGACTAGTTAGTGTTTCCCAGAGACTTAAAGTGGTAAATCTGCCTCTCCAACCCTGGCGTCCCCCTGTAGTCATTGGTCTTCCCAAATCCAGAGCTCTTAGTTCCTGGTTTTCCCCCAGATCTTCTCAGAGCACAACTTCTGGTTCCTTTTGGGGTGTTGGGTGGTTCTAGTGCAACCCTATCCCCTAATCTCTCTGTTTTGATGACCTTTTGTGGGTGTGAGAGGATGGGGGCTATGCCCTGTCTTTCCTGGGCCCCTTCCCACATCCTGGCTTTGGCTTCCAGTAATTGTTTTGTCTTTCCCTCCCCCGCTTCGTTCCCAGGTTTCGGTCTAAGTACCACCCAGATGAGGTGGGGAAGCGTCGGCAGGAGGCCCGGGGGGGCCTGCAAAACCGTCTCAGGGTCTTCCTGTCCCTCATGGAGACTGGCTGGTTTGATAATCTTCTCCTGGACATAGACAAAGCTGATGCCATCGTCAAGATGCTGGATGCAGGTGTGTGGATTTGGAGGGGTGGCAGGCATTTGGGGTGGGTGTATTTGGGGACCAGGCAGACACGGGTTGACAGGAGCCAGGGCCCTGGGGTTGTGAACTCTGTTCCCTTTGTTGGTAGCTGTGATTAAGATGGAAGGAGGCACAGAGAATGATCTCCGCATCCTGGAGCAGGAGGAGGAGGAGGAACAGGCAGGAAAGCCTGGGGAGCCTGGCAAGAAAGAGGAAGGACGGGCTGGAGCAGGCCTTGGGGACGGGGAGCGTAAAACAAACGACAAGGACGAGAAGAAGGAAGACGGCAAGCAGGTCCGAGCGCCGGGCCTCTAGTGCTGCCTCGGGGTCCAAAGGAGCTACAAGTGCGGGGCTGTGTTCTGGGAGGGGTGGGGAAAATGAACCTGTGGCCTCAGCTGTCGGGGTGGTGGCCCTCTGATAAAGGTGGAAGGGGAGGTTTGACATCCCCAGTGGTTGTCTCTTCCCATAGTCCGAGAATGACAGTTCTAATGATGACAAAACGAAGAAGTCGGAGGGTGACGGGGACAAGGAAGAGAAGAAAGAAGACTCTGAGAAAGAAGCCAAAAAGGTGAGGTGTCTATGACCTGGGGTCAGAGTGTCGTTGCTGGGGTCCTGGCACACTGACTTGTCCCTTCCGCTGTGGCTTGCTCAGAGTAGCAAGAAGCGGAACCGGAAGCACAGCGGGGACGACAGCTTTGATGAGGGCAGTGTGTCGGAGTCCGAGTCGGAGTCAGAGAGCGGCCAGGCTGAGGAGGAGAAGGAGGAGGCCGGTAGGGTTTCTTTTCTGCTTCTAAAGTGCATTCTAATGCGGGTGGGGAGGTGAGCGGTTGGTGACATTGATGTGGGAGGGAGGGTGGCTTTTAGGGGAAAGCTTCTCTATCCTCCCCATCAAAATCAGTAATAAAAATGCACCAACTCCTTCCTACCCCTTCCTGCCCAGAAGAAGCGCTCAAGGAGAAGGAGAAGCCCAAGGAAGAAGAATGGGAGAAGCCCAAGGATGCCGCCGGGCTGGAGTGCAAGCCGCGGCCGCTGCATAAGACCTGCTCCCTCTTCATGCGCAACATTGCGCCCAACATCTCCCGGGCTGAGATCATCTCCGTGAGTGGGGACCCATGGAGTCGGGGCAGGGCCGATGGAGAAGTGGAGGGCAGAGGGAAGGCAGTGGGGCCCTGCCTGTGACAGATGCCCCCATTTCACCTGTTAGGGAGGCCCCTTCCCCAGGGCCCATGGCCTCTGAGGACTAGTCCTGATCACGCCATTGGCTTTCAGGTGCTGGTGTTTGAAGCCCTTTAGTGGTTTTTCCCTGCCCAAGGATGGGAAGAGTGACAAAGCAGTTAGTCCTAGGGTTCTGAGGACAGTGGGGGATTGGAGGAAGAAGCGAGTGAATCCTTGAGTCACTACATGGGGCTGGTTTTCTGCTTCTTGCAGCTTTGTAAAAGGTACCCAGGCTTTATGCGGGTGGCGCTCTCAGAGCCCCAGCCAGAGAGGAGGTGAGTAACTCGTGTTGGAGGGAAAAGTGCAGGGGAATGTTAATGGCCAACACCAACTCCCTTGCTTGACTATGCTAACATTTTCTTTCTTGTGTAGGTTTTTCCGTCGTGGCTGGGTGACCTTCGACCGCAGTGTTAACATTAAAGAGATCTGTTGGAACCTGCAGAACATCCGTGTGAGTGCTGCGGGTGGGACTGTGGGGAAGAGGAAGGGAGGCTGTCTATGCCCCACGGGACCTCTGCATGACTTTGTTCGTCTGATAGGCCAGTTGTTCTGCATCCTCTTTGACCGTTTCGTCTGCCTACATTGTCTCTGGGCAAGGCTCTAGGGCTGTTACCATGGACAGGACCTATGTGGTCCCCGTCCCCAGGGAGCTTGCAGTCTGATCAATCACTGGTGCTCAAGAGGGGAGGGTCTTAGAGCTGCTACTTCTCCGGCAAGTAGGGTAAGTGGGATAAGCTTCCAATGATGTCTGCCCTCCAGCTCCGGGAGTGCGAGCTGAGCCCTGGTGTGAACAGGGACCTGACCCGGCGCGTTCGCAATATCAATGGCATCACCCAGCACAAGCAGATTGTGCGCAACGACATCAAGCTGGCGGCCAAGCTGATCCACACCCTGGACGACAGGACCCAGCTTTGGGCCTCGGAACCAGGGACGCCTCCCCTGCCAACGGTCAGTGACTCCCCAAAGGACTTTGTCAGAAACAGCTGATGGTGCCTCTGCTGTGGGCACCTCTTACCTCACCTATCTGTAGCCTTAACCCCCTTGCACCCACTTGCCTGCTCACTCATTTGTCCCTCCCTGTGTGGGTAGCACCTTCTCCAGCTTCCAACAGAATGGGGGGATGCTAGTGATCATTTGTGGCTGGGGTGGAACAAAAGCTAAAATGAAGACAAATCTCAAGGGGGCAAAAGGCGCCAGTTATGTCCGGTGAACTCTTGTTCTCTCGCTGCTCTTTCACTTGTAGAAGGTCTCAGGTTACCTCCCCTGAAGGTCTTTCTCTGCCTTACTTGCCTGTCTTCCTCCCACCAGAGCCTGCCCTCACAAAACCCGATCTTGAAGAATATCACCGACTACCTGATCGAGGAAGTGAGCGCTGAGGAGGAGGAGCTGCTGGGGAGCAGCGGGGGCGCCCCTCCTGAGGAGCCTCCTAAGGAAGGGAACCCGGCAGAGATCAACGTGGAGCGGGATGAGAAGTTGATCAAGGTGCCAGTGGCAGCACGGGGCACGTGGGGGCTCAGGTGGTGAGGGCAGGAGCTGAGCACTCGCACTCACTTCCCTTAGGTCTTGGACAAGCTCCTCCTTTACCTGCGCATCGTGCATTCCTTGGATTATTACAACACCTGTGAGTACCCCAATGAGGACGAGATGCCCAATCGCTGTGGCATCATCCACGTTCGGGGGCCCATGCCACCCAACCGCATCAGTCACGGGGAAGGTGAGCTCCAGGTTCCCATTTGTCGCCGGCTGCCCCTGGCCTCGGTCCTCCAGCCCCTTGCCATCGTCCTTCCTTCCGGCTTCCTTCCCAACCTTCTTCCTCTGTTCCCAAACCACAGTGCTGGAGTGGCAAAAGACGTTTGAGGAGAAGCTCACGCCATTGCTGAGTGTGCGGGAGTCGCTCTCAGAGGAAGAGGCCCAGAAGATGGGGCGCAAAGACCCAGAGCAGGAAGTGGAGAAGTTTGTCACCTCCAACACGCAGGAACTGGGCAAGGATAAGTGGCTGTGTCCTCTCAGTGGCAAGAAATTCAAGGTCTGGGATGTTGGAGAATGGCCGTGCTACAGTGGTGGGAGGTGGGGTTGAGACAGGAAGCCCCCTAAAGGCCTGGGCAGGGGTGGGGGAACTGCTCACTGGACTGGCAGGTGGGAGCTGGAAATCCTTCCAGGTCGGGCCTGGGAGCGAGGCAACCATTACCTGGCTGTCCTGACCCCACTCCTCTCTCCACCCAGGGTCCTGAGTTTGTGCGCAAACATATCTTCAACAAGCACGCAGAGAAAATTGAGGAAGTGAAAAAGGAGGTGGCGTTTTTTAACAACTTCCTCACTGATGCCAAGCGCCCAGCTCTGCCTGAGATCAAGCCAGCCCAACCACCTGGCCCTGCCCAGAGTAAGATACGATCCATGAAGGTCGCATGTCCCCTCTCCCTTGATTACCCAGGGACTCCCATTTCTCTTTAACATGTCACCCCGAAAAGTTTCTGCCCCATCCTCAGGCCATAGCCCTAGAAGTCAATTGTACCCATCCCCCTCCCGCCCCCGCAGTAATTCATGTCCCTGTCCGTGTTGTACTCCCCCCAGGTTTGACCCCGGGACTCCCCTACCCACACCAGACTCCCCAGGGCCTGATGCCCTACGGTCAGCCCCGGCCCCCGATCTTGGGCTACGGAGGTAAGTACAGGAGGGAGATGAAGGGGCTTGGTGAGTGTGTGGCGTTGGGAGAAGGAAACAGAGGATGGAGTTGAGGACATAGTTTTGCAACTCAACACTAATCTCTGTCATAGCTGGTGCTGTCCGCCCTGCAGTCCCCACAGGAGGCCCTCCATACCCCCACGCCCCATATGGTGCTGGTCGAGGGAACTACGATGCCTTCCGAGGCCAGGGAGGTTATCCTGGGAAACCTCGCAACAGGTAAGGAGAAGGGCAGATGTGAAACCTCGCAACAGGTAAGGAGGGCAGACACCCAAGCTTTGTTGCTGCCTGCAAACTCCCTTTTGGGAGCCCCCAGCTCTCATCCTTTACCTCTCATTTCACAGGATGGTTCGTGGAGACCCAAGGGCCATTGTGGAATATCGGGACCTGGATGCCCCAGACGATGTTGATTTCTTTTGAGCCGTCCACCGTTCCTCACTCCTGTATCCATACTCGTGACTACCTTGTCCCATCCAGCTCTGAGAATTTTTTGTACGATCAGCCTTACTGCCAATAAAAGCACTTCCACAGGGCTCCTGACTCTCGTGTGTTACATACCTCCCCCATCCTTCCACAGTAACTCCTGAGGTGTTGCTCAGCCCTGCCACTTTTATTATTGATGTCAAAAGCGCCAGGCTCTGCAGGGACACCAGTGGGTGGTACAAAGGTGCATGTCTGGGACCCGAGAATCTCAGTTCTGTAACTTTGCCCTCAGTCCAAGGTGTGTTGCTGCTGTTGGGAGCTAAGGCTGGTCAAGCACAGGTTGTAGAAGGAGTTGGGGTCAAAGGCTGCACTCACCTCTTGCCAGCCCACCCACCCAGCAGCTTGTAGTTCACTGGGGCTTTTTGGAGCGCCCCAGTAGTGAGGGTCCAATACCAGGACATAGTCTTCCGTGCCTGACCCGATGCAGATTCCCAGCAAGGCCTTAGACCTGGCATCCGCGTCCCCTCCAACCATGACTGGGCCCCCGCCCCCTGCGAAGTGGGAGTAAAGCTTCTCCAGCTCCCCATGCAGCCCCGCTCCCCGGGGTACGTGGCAGAGGCGTCCCTGGGGCCCTCCGAAGTGAGCGAGGCAGAGGCTGGCCTCCACGCAGCCGATCCAGTCCCGGGAGCCGCGGAACCCGGGGGGCTTGTCACCC